GGGTAGCTCCACAAATATTTATTGAATATTTGTGAATATTGTGAATATTGAATAGGCGTCTGTGGCACCTGTTCAGTCGTGTCCTTTCCGTGATCCTGTTTGGGGTTTTCTTGGCAAAGATGTTTTTTGTTTTTCACGCAGTATGTTACAAATTATCTAAAGCAACTGGTAAATGATTGTTGCAATGGATTAGAGACCAGGCTGGAAAGCAGACCAGATTAGGCTTGCTCAGATCTGCAGGGTACCTGGACAGCTCACGGGGCAGTCCCCTGCGTTGGGGGCACAGTGTGTCACAGGAGGCAGGGGGCCCTCGCCAGGAGAGCCAAGCACGGCCCCACCATCTACGGCAGGTGAAGAGTCAGCACCGAGGCAGTCAATGATCAACGTGACTGACCGCCTTCTCCTGCTTTTGACCAACTCCAAGCCTGGCAGCTGCCCTCTGGGAAAAGGGAGAGGAAAACGTGGCAGAAAAAACCCCCCAAACTGAGAACAATGAAGGTTTACCAAAGCGCAGGGAAGTGCTTAGGGCCTTCCCTGAACCCCCAAACGTCCCAGGGCCAGAGCAAATGAGGGCACCCCGCTCAGGCAGTGGGTACTTAAGAGGCCCCGGATTAGAGTCTGCTTGGGACTCCGCTCCTCATTCCATTTACCTTTTCCTTCGAGTGTGTCAATATTGTTAGTAAATGTCCAATTCAAATATATTGGTGAAAAGGAAAAATGGAAAAATCCGTAAGACAATGAGCAGACTCTCAGAGTTGGAAGGGACCATTTATCTAGCTCCTGAAGTGTGGCCCAGAATTCTTACATTCTCCAACGCGTGGTCCTCTTTGCTTCAAAAGCTCGAGGGACAAAGGCTCCCCAGCCTCCCCACACAGTCCTCTCCCTTCCTTTCATTCATCCCCAGGGACCATTTGAGCCGCCCCATGGGCTCGTGCCTGCTGGGCTGAGGACTGGTTTTTCCACACGGCCTGCCAGCTCTCTGACCACGGCTAGGATTTCAGCTAAAGAAGAGGTTTTGAAAGCCACTAGGCTCCTCTCCTGTGGCAAAGCACCTGGGACTGATTCTATGCCAGCTGAGATTTACAAGGTAGGGGGTGGGAGTTCATTGCTCATACAAAAGCTGATTCAAATGTTCCAGGTTACTTGGCAACAGGAGGTGATCATAACCCCCGTGTGTTCAAGGATGCCTCCATGGTCCATCTCTGTAAAGATAAAGGAAATAGATTGTCCTGTGACAATCACGGTAGGATCTGTCCCTTGGTCATTGCTGCAAAGATTCTTGCCAGAGGCCTCCTTTACAGGCTGAGCCTCCACCGGAAAGATATTCATCTCCCCGAGAAACAGTGTAGTTCAGAAAGAGCCACGGAACACTAGATGTGGTGTTTGGTGCAAAAAATTCCAGAAGGAATGCCAGGAGCAGAGCAGAGTTCTGTACAGTGTTTGCAGATCTGACCAAGATCTCTGAGACTGTCAGTCATGAGGGTTTGTGGGAAATCATGGCGAAACGTGGCTGCCTGGACAAGATCATCAGTACTGGACATCAATTTCAAGACGGCACGCTTGCCTGGGTTCTAGATAGTGGACAATGCTCTTGGGCTTTCCCAGTCACCAGTGGAGTGAAGTGGGGCTGTGTCCTTGCTCCCATGCTTTTTAGGGTGATGTTTTCAGCCATGTTGTCAGATGGCCTTCAACAAGGACGAAAACAGCATCGAGGTCAGCTACCACACAGATGGTAAATTATTGAACTCGAAAAGGCTACAAGCCAAGACTAAAGTGGAGGGAAAGTTGATATTCAACTTGTGGATGATTGTGCACTCAATGCAGCCTCTGAAGCTGAGATGCAAGAAAGTATGGATCAATTCTCTGCTGCTTGTGTTAATTTTGACCTAACAATTAACAAAGGTTCTCCACCAGCCAGCACCACACCAACCACATTGGTTATAGCAAATGGAGAAATATTGAATGCTGTGGATAAGTTCACTTACCTTGGCAGTATACTTTCCGGGGATGTACACGTAGATGACGAGGTTGACACACGCATTGCCAAAGCTAGCTCAGTGTTTGGGAGGCTCTGAAGGAAAGTGTGGGAGAGAGGAGATATTAGGCTGCCTACCAAACTGAAGGTCTACAGAACCCTTGTGCTGACCTCATTGCTTTATGCCTACGAAACCTGGTCGGTCTACCAGCACCATGCGAGGAAACTGAATTGCTTCAATTTGAGTTGTCTTAGGAGCCCACCAAGATAAGGGAGTAGACACTGAGGGCCTTTCTCGAGCTGGGTTGCCAGGCGTTCAAACTCTACTGCAGAGAGCGCAGCTCTGAGGGGCTGGCCACATTGTTCAAATGCCAAATACACACTTTGCCGAAAAGACTGTCTCTTTTTTTTAGTTCTATTTTTTATTTTTTAAATTTTAATTAATTTATTTTGATTTATCTACAATCACTTCCATAAGCTTTTGAGTTTTACATTTTTCTCCCTCTCCCTCCCCACCTCCCTCCCCAAGACAGCCCACGATCTGATATAGGCTCCACATATATATATATATATATATTCCTATTAAACATATTTTCACATTAGTGACCTAAAAGATTATCTTGCAGGGAACTCACGCAAGGCAAGTGCTCACATGGTGGTCAGAAGAAGCGATACAAGGACACTCTCAAGGTCTCTTTAAAGAACTTTGGAAATGATTGCCGGACATGGGACACACTGGCCCAGGACTGGTCAGCATGACACGCCCTCATCACCGAAGGTGCTGGGCTCCATGAGCAAAGTAGAGTTGTAGAAACTGAGAAGAAATGTGGAATGCACACATTCAGAGACATCTCCACTCCAAATGTTCACACGGACAATCTGTTTCCGACCCGTGGTAGAGCCTTCCAAGCCTGTAACAGTCTGATGGTCTGATCAGACACAGTTGGATACGTTGTACCTTCACACCAACACAATGATGTCATTTTGGTTCTTTTTGAGAACAAAGGACAACCACAGTGTTGATTGTTTTTTTTTTTATGTGAGGTAATTGGAGTTAAGTGACTTGCCTAGAGTCACACAGCTAGTGAGTGTTATGTGTCTGAGGTCATATTTGAACTCAGGTCCTCCTGACTCCTGGGCCGGTGCTCTATCCACTGCACCACCTAGCTGCCCCTGACAACCACAGTGTTTCAGTGTCCTCACAGAAGAGGTTGAAATGGGCACTAAGGCAGCCTCAGGGGTCTATCTGCACTCAAACACCAAGAGATGTTCATAGGGGAGAGTGTGGTGGTCCCCATTTCTGCCCCCAACACATACCACTCCAACTCATTTGGGGTTTTCTTGGCAGAGATCCTGGAGTAGTTTGCCATTTCCTTCTCCAGCTCATTTTACAGATGAGGAAACTGAGGCAAATAGGGTGAAGTGACTCGCCCAGGGTCACACAGATAGTAAGTGTACAAACTCATTATGGATGGATTTTTTTCTCTTAAACCTAGATATGGTACTCCAGGTATGGTGCAACCCAGGAATCAGAACTTGACCTACTTTGAACACAGGCTTCTCATTCAGCAGCTTCCGGTGCCCTTAACTAATGCCCTTCTGTGGACCCCTCTGAGCTCCCAAGGCCACCAGCATGTCCTTTTTTCATGGAGTCCCTGTCTAGACACACTCATAGAGATGAGCTTTGGATGCATATGGAACTTTTCACTTACCTCCATTCAAGGCCATGTTATTGGGTTCTGCCTGACTGTCACGGTCCTATCATCCACCAGGGGCTCTCCAGATCAGTGACAGTAATCCAGAACCAAGGAGGGGCTTTGGGCTCTGCTGGGGGTCTCCCTCCAGAAATTGGGCTTCCTTCAAAATTCAGCTCGAATCCCATGGCCAGAGAAGGCCTTCCTCCATTACGGCCCTCCCTCTGAGATTGACTCCCATTATGGAGTGCTTACTGGGGGCACTATTATGCATATTATCTGGTGCCTATCTCTCACGGGCATAGTTCTTGTCTCCTCCGTTAGGTCGTGAGCTCCCTGAGAAGAAGGATTGTGTTTTCCTTTCTTTGTATGACCAATCCTGTAAAATGAGTGTGGTAGCTGACACAGAGCAGGCGCTCAGTAAATGCTCACGGCCTGAGTGAGTGACTTGCCCAAGGTCCGACTCAAACCCAGGTTCTCAGACTCAAAGTTCCCAGCTCTGCCCAGACCTGCACCTCCAGCTGCTCCAGCCATGCTCTGTCTGCTTCTCCCCTGCCCGGCCTCCTAGGTCTAAAGCTTCCCTGGGACTCCGGGGGTCCTAGCTGGGCCCTTCCTCCTAGGTCCATGCTGTCCTCCTCCTCAGGAGGACCCTAGTCTCCCAATGGACCCCCCACGGTACTCTGCCCTTTCTTCCGCACTGCCATCGGTGCTCAGCCTCCGTCTTAGCGGGGGCTCTCCACTGTCCCCCGGCCCTTAGCTCAGTCATCATCAGAATCTGTCTATGAAGTGCCTACTATGCGTCAAGCACCCCCGTGAGGAAGGGCTCACAATTTAGTGGGGGACCAGGTGCCCAAGAACTGTTTGAGGGATGGTTTGAAAAGGGCATGGAGTCAAAGGATGCCTGGCACGGGCCTGATGCCTTCCTAAGGAGCCAGTTAGGGCCCTTTCTGAGCATCAGACCCCTCCCAGCTCTCACGCTCTGGGTTCTCGGGGCTCTGCTGGCCCAGCCAGGCCCCGGGGCACAATGCTCGGTCTCCCCACTGCCCTGCGATCCAGTCCGGTGCCCAGGCGCTCCGGGAGGATGCCCGGACCCAGCAGACCCAGCCCTCTCTGGGGGCGCTGTCCAGGAGCACGGGCCAGCAAGAGTGCCCGGGGCCTCTCTGATGCTAGGGATTGTGAAAGGCGGCAGTCACCCCTTTGGCAGGACCCCCAGAAAGGGGAAGGGCGGGAGATCCGCCCAGAGGCTGGCCAGGGCAGGGCGGGGCCTGGAGGAGGAGATCAGTGCCCGGGGAGGGACTTTGCGGAGGGGCGGAGCTGGGACGGCAGCCTCCTGGCTCCCGAAACCCAGCTTTCACGGCTTAGGTCGGGTTTCTCTGCCCTCACATCGATCTCTGTCCGGGCAGCGAGTGCGTAAAGGAGCGGTCTGTCGAGGCCGGCCACATGGGTGAGAGCCAGATGCGGAGAAGGGTCTGGGGCTGCACGGGAGGGCGGGGGACGGTCGGTAGCAGCAGCATCCGATCTGCAGCCTGCCGGGACCGCCAACACCGGCGAGCCCCACTCCTCTTTGCAGACCGGGAAACTGAGGCTCAGAAAGGAGAAGGGAAGGGGAACGAGCATTTATAGGGTCCTACCGGGTGCCAGGCACTGTGCTAAGCCCTGGGAGGGAGGTGCGGTGATTATCCCCATTTTACAGATGAGGAAACTGAGACCGGCGGGGGCGAGGTGTCACACAGCTAGTGTCTCAGGCCCCCACTGGTACTCGGGTCTTCCTGACCCGACCCTAGGTCCAGTGCTCTACCCACTGTGCCACCAAGCTCAAGGTCACACAGCTGGTGAGGGTCAGACCCGTCCCTTGGCTCCCAGAACCTCTGCTGCACTGATGGGAGCTGGGAAGGGCTTGGTTCTCAGTCCTAGGATCGCAGGGGAGGGGGGAGGGGCCGGCAAGCGGGGACAGGAGGGAGGGCATTCCAAGCAGGGGTCACAGCTAGGGCAAATGCCTGGAGACTGGAAATGGAGGAAAGACAAGGAGGTGAGTGTCACTGGATTACAGAGTATGATGACTGTGACCTTGAACTCTCGGTCCTTCTAAGGACTAAGTAATGAAGTCATTGAAGTATAATTAATTGAGGAAAATTAAGTAATTTATTTTTAGTTTTCAACATTCACTTCCATAAGGTTTTGAGTTCCAAATTTTCTCCCCCTCCCCCCCACCCCAAGACAGCATACAATCTGATACAGGCTCTGTCCGACAGAGGCTCTCCACGAACATTCCTATTAAACATATTTTCACATTAGTCATATTGTAAAGAATGAGTGGGAGGAACATGGAGACGGGCCAAGATGGTCTAAAGAGGAGTCAGTGGAAACTGGACGGGAGGCTTGGAACGAGACAGGGTGGGGGTCCTGGTCTGTACGAGGGTGACCATCGTCGTCCGGCTCCTTCCCCCAAAGAGGAGCTGTGCGCTGGGGGCTCTGCACTCTTTAAAAGGGAAGGGGCTGAGAGATGGGGGAAGGGAATAAGTGTTTATTAAACACCTACGGGGCAGCGATATGGCTCAGTGGATAGAGCACCGAGCCTAAAGTCAGGAGGACCCGAGTTCAAACATGGCCTCAGACCAGACACTTAGCACTTACTAGCTGTGTGACCCTGGGCAAGTCACTTAACCCCAATTGCCTTACCAAAAACCAAACAGAAATATATATTAAACACCTACTAAAAATAAATTAAAAAACAAAACAAAAAAACCAACTATGTGCCGAGCACTGTGTCAAGCCCTTTACAAATAGTAAATCATTTGAGCTTCACAAAGAACCCTGCAAAGTAAGTACTGTTATTATTCCCATTTTACAAATGAGGAAACTGAGGCAAACAGAGACTTGGCCAGGCTCACACAGCTAGAAGTGTCTGAGGTGTACTTGAACTCAGGTCTTCCTGCCTCTAGGCCCAGAGCCCTGTCCACTGTGACCCCCAGGTCCTTAAAAGTGCCTCACATCTCCCCTGTTTTTCAGGTCTGCTCTCAGAACTGAAGCTCTCCGTGCCCTGGGGCCACATTGCTGTCAAGGCCTGGGGCTCCCCGCAGGGACCCCCTGTGCTCTGCCTCCACGGATGGCTAGCTAACGCCAACTCCTTTGACCGGCTCATCCCGCTTCTCCCTCAAAGTGAGGCTGGGCTGCTGGGGGATGCCAGGGCAGGGAGGTGGGGCAGCTGGAGAGAAGGAAGAGGTGCTAAGGGCTGACCGGTCTCCCTCTCCTGCAGCCTTCTATTATGTCGCCATGGATTTCGGGGGCCACGGCCTTTCCTCCCACCATCACCCCGGGTTCTCGTACCACCAACAGGACTATGTAAATGAGGTGTGCCGTGTGGTGTCAGGTAAATGGAGGGAGCGTGGGAATGGGGAGGGGGATGCCGCTTCGGGAAAGGCCACCCTCCCCCCACAGCACCTGAGAGGTCCTCCAGCCTGGGGGGGCAGGAGAAGCCCCTGGCACGCAGCCCAAAATCGTGCATCAAAGCTGTTAAAGCAAGGGTGTACAGAGTGTTTGTGGGAACCAAGGACAGGAGACCCCTCCCTCTCTGGGCCTCCATCCCTCTATGGCAAAAGGAGGCGGCAGGCCCAGCCATCTCTAAGATCTCTGTCACAGTGAGCCCGTGAAGGCTCCCCAGCTGTCCCTCCCTCGAGCTGGAGAGGGGGTTGCTGACCCTCGGACCCCCGCTCTGCTTGAGTGAGCGCCTCCTGAACCTAAACACGGCCTCTCTTTACCGTGCAGCAGAGATCTGACCAGTCACCTGTCAGCTGTGGGGGGGAGGGGCCTGGCCGGGAGATGACGTTCGTGTGTGTGCGTGTGTGTGTGTGTCTGTGTGTCTATGTCTGTGTGTCTGTGTGTGTGTGTGTGTCTGTGTGCGTGTGTCTATGTCTGTGTGCGTGTGTCTGTGTCTGTGTGTGTGTCTGTGTGTGTGTCTCTGTGTGTGTGTGTGTGTGTGTGTGTTTGTGTGTGTTTGTGTCTCCCCAGCCCTGAGATGGAAGCGCTTTTCCATCTTGGCCCACAGTTTTGGTGAGTAAAGCGGCCAAGGAGCCAGGCCCCATGTGGGACAGTGGGGGGAGAAACAGAAGGGGATTCTGGGGGGCAGTTGGGCTCTGCCCTTGCTTGTTCTGTGACTTTGCCAGGGCAGACAGGTGGCATCTAGCAGTCAGTCCGCTTGCTAGAGCCCTGGCCAGGAAATGAAGTCCCAAGACCTCCAGTCTCAGGGCGTGGATATGGTGCTGGGGAATGGCGATCCCCCTCAGTGTCTCTAGAGCTCCTGGGCTGCTGGGGGGATGCCCAGGGCCAGTGAGGGCACCCGGCAGACTGGGGAGGGGGCAACCACCACCTCTCCTTTTCTGTCTGCAGGCAGCACCATTGGTGGCATGGTAAGTCCCTGGCCCTGCTCCAGCCAGGCTGGGCTCTGAGTAGGGGGCAGTGAGGGATGGCCGCCAGAAAGCAGAACCAGAACCCCGGGCCGTCAGCAGCTCCAGGTCAGGGCCAGGCGGCCCAGCCAGAGGGGACCCGTGGGGACTAGCTGGCCTGTGACGGCAGGGACCCCCCTCGGGATGGGAGGTGTCACAAGCAGCTGCCTCCCCTTTCCCCCATTGGCTGGCTAAAAAGAGTAAAGACCTTCAGCCCATTCTGCGCAAAAACCAAGGAGGTCAGAAGCCTAGTTTGCAGGTGCCTTCTGGCAGAGCTGGAACGGTGCCAGGCTCCCAGGCTGCCCTGCCTATCAACTTCCTAGGAGGGGGGCGGTAGCATCCCCAAGCTAGAGGCTTCAGGGAAAGGGAGGATATACCAGGGGCCCCATCCTGGGACTGGAACCCACTGAGGCAGGGAGACAGACCCAGAAGCCCATGCCCAGAGTTAGTACTCAAAGCCTGCTCAGCCTGGAAGGACTTGCCCTGGCTGTCGCTGAACCTGCTGGAGCTGCAGTAAATCACTAAACACTTACTAAGCACCTGCTGTATGCCAGGTGCTGTGCTAAGACCTGGAGATCCAAATGTAGGAAAATAAGTCCCTGCCCTTATGGAGCTTCCAATCTAACCGGGGAAGATAGCTCGCAAAAGGAAGGCCTTGGGAATGGTGGGCTTAAGAGGGCGGGCAGATCCATGGAGTTTCCTTCCTCGTGGGCGCCGGGGAGAGAGAAGCCTCCTGTCCTGGTCTTTCTCTCCTCTTCCTCCTTCTCCTTCCCAGTTCTCCTGCATCTTCCCCGAGATGGTGGATAAACTGATCGTGCTGGACTCCTTGCCTTTCTTGCTGGACTTTCCGGTGAGGCCTTTGATGGAGACTGGGAAGAGGTGGGGGGGTGACCCCACCCCTCGGCCTGGGGGGCTTTCTGTTCCCATGCGATCTGACCCTGTTCCAGGGACCCCTCCTCCATCCCTGTAGCTGTAGCAGTAGACCCTGCAGCCCACCCCCAATGGCCCGGGAGGGGAAGGCCAAGGAAAAGCAAAGACTTTTCACACGTATGAGGTTTACACAGGTAAAGCCACGCCTTGACAAATCTGACTCTTCTGGTCAGGTGAGATCGTTGTGATTATTGTTCCCATTTCAGAGATGAGATAACTTAGTCCAGGCTCACACCCTTGCAGTGTTCTTCACTTCTAGTCTATGTTCGGCCCTGCCCACTGGACCACGCTGCCTCTCTGGGATGGCCTCTTTTTCCTTCGGGAGGAGGGAGGGTGGCCACCATTCTGGCAGAAAGGAGAGCCGGCAGGGATCTGTGGAAGTGAGAGAAGGGAACTGAGCCCCGGAGAGGGAAAGGGGCTAAGCGAGGTCGGTCAGCCCATACGTGCGGAGTCTCAAGTCTCTGTCACTGGGATCGAGTCTGGCCAGAACGTGTACCTCCGTGTAGCTGCTGTGTCCCTGTGAGGGGCCCAGGTTAGACTGTCACAGGAGGCAGAGGGGCAGGGTGCTGGTGCCCTTACCACCCTTGCAAACCCAGCCTGGCATCTGAGGAATGCCTGCCTGGGCAGCTCAGACCAGCTTAGTGGGGGTGGGGAGGAAGGGCAGCAGAAGGGCAGGTGCCAGCGCTCCTCTCAGCGTGACTCTGCCCGGGCTGGCAGGGGACGCTCCTCGGGTTTCTCTCTGGAAGGACAACCCACCTCCTCCCTCCCGGCAGCGTTTCAGACACCGGCAGGTGTGGCCTTCGGCCTTCAGACCCCCTGCCCCTGCCCGTGGCTCTGTTGCTCAGGCTGCTAGGGCTGGGGAGTCTCTGACGGACCATCTGAGACGGCAGGGACCCAGTTATGGGAGACAGTCCCTGCGCCAGAGCAATGGTGGGGAGAGCCGGCCGCTCCCCAAACCCTGCGAGGGGCCCGGGGGGTGTGCAGGGGAGGAATCTGGGTGAGGCGCGGGGGCTGGTGCAGAAGGCTTGTGGGGGGCACACGGGGGAGCAGCGGTGGACTTCAGAGGCAGGAGCCAGGGAGGGGGCCAGGGCAGGAAGCGGAGTCCCCTCCTCCAGAAAGCCGGCCGGGTCCCAGACCACATCTGCTCTTTGGCCGGATGGAACGGAAGCCTCTGGAGGGCAGGTGCTGCTGGTGCTGCGGGTGCCTGGCACAGTGCTGGCCATGAGCCGGGAAGGCTTCAATAGGATCCAGGCCCTCACACCTGCCCGCATCCATGTCTGCCCTCCAGGAGGCAAGCAACCTGCTGGTTTACAGGCGACGCAGCATTGAGCGCGTGCTGCAGGTGGAAGCCAAGCAGCAGAAGCCCCCCAAGGTTGTCAGCCCCGAGGAGATGCTGCAAAGGTAGGGCGGGGAGGCGGGGGCCTGGGGCTGAGGGGGGGAGGGGTGGCCCGGGGCCGGGGGCGGGGGGCGGGAGGCGGGAGGCGGGGGCCTGGGGCGAAGCAGCCGAGACCCTGTTGGCCCTGAAAGCTGCAGGGTGCATGGGGGGAGCAGGGGTGCGGGGTGGGGGTAGAGGGCGGCTTCCCTTCAGGCTTTCTTTTGAAAAGCCAGTGGCAGATCCTGGGGCTCGCAGACACTCTTTCCTGCTCGAGCAGGACTTGTTCTTTCCCCATCTCTCTGGATCTTTAGGTCTTGCCCAAAATACCCACAAGTCAGTCAATTAATCATTCAGCACTTTTTGCCAAGCACTGTTTCCCTACCTGTGGGACACACACACACCCACACATTGTGTGTATGTGGGGAGGAGGTGTGAAGCCAGAGCTGTGATTTCACCTGCCAGTCACTCCCGGTGCAGAAAGGCCCTTCGCTAGGGCAGGTCGCCCCTCGTCTATAACTAGGATCACAGCATGTTTTCTTCATTGCTGGTCCCATAGTGTTTGTTTTCTTTTCTCCCAGAAATGCCTCATCTCCTCCTCTTAATGTATTAACGATGCAATGCCTTTCCCCTTTTGCCCCATTTCCCCACTGCCCCCTGTGCCTTCCCCAGCTTTCTAAAGAACAATGTTCAAGTGGATGAAGAGTGTGGGAGGCTCTTGCTGGAGAGAGGAACCACCAAGGTGGCAGAAGGTTAGAGAGCCCCCTTGCTGGCCACAACCCGGGCAGGGAGTGGGGGAGGGGGATCTGTGGAATCCAGAATTGCTTCACAAAGGGAATGGCCACATTCAGGTCCCCCTCTACCCCCAGCTGCTTGTGGCGTGAAGAGGGAAATGGAGGGGCATCTGAGCAAATGACCGTTCACCTCAGCGGCTTCCCGGCTGTGTGACCTTGGCCAAGTCTTTTCCCTGCCTCACTTTCTTCCTCTGTAAAATGGGGTTTATGGGCTGATCTGGAGGCTTGTACCAGCTGCCCCTTGGGACACCCAGAGGGCCTCCAATAGGAGAATCTGGAAGAAGGCCTCCCTCCTGGGGAGTCACATGGGAGGGGTGTCTGAAGAAGCCATTAGACTCACATGAACTAGTAATGTCCAGAAAACACTACAAAAGACCCGGAGTCTTTCAGAATGGTTAAAGAATGGGTGTCCAGTGGCTAGAGCACTGGCCCTGGAGTCAGGAGGACCTGAGTTCAAATCCAGTCTCAGACCAGACACTTAACAGTTACTAGCTGTGTGACCCTGGGCAAGTCACTTAACCCCAATTGCCTTGCAAAAAAAAGAAGAAGAGTGGACGTCCTCTGCTCTTCCCACTAAGATGGTCATTTTTGTTCTGGACCCTTTAGGTGTGGTGTTGAACCGAGACCAGAGGCTGGGCCTGGTGAGTTCTCATATTCCCTGTCCTGAAACACGGAACACTCTGCATGTATGTGTGTGTGTCCGATCCACTAAACATTTATGGAACATGTTCCGAGGGGGAGGCCCCAAGAGAGATTTAGAAAGACCAGTCCCTGATCTGAAGGAGTTTGCAGTCTCCTAGAGGGAAGCGTGTCCAACATAGGTAAATGCTATTGTTCAGTTATTTCCGATTCTCCATGACCCCATTTGGGCTTTTCTTGGCTGAGACACTGCAGTGGTTTGCCATTTCCTTCTCCAGCTCATTTTGCAGAGGAGGAAACTGAGGCAAACAGGGTGAAGTGACTTGCCCAGGGTCACCCAGCTAGGAAGTGTCTGAGGCTGGATTTGAATTCAGGTCCTCCTGATTCCAGGCCCAACTTTCCCGCTCATGTAGTTTAAACAGAGCTTCCAAGAAAATCAGGAAAGGGGCCAGGTCTGTATCAGGCTTGAGAAATGGCCAACAGCTTTTTGGCTGTAACCAAGTGTGTGAAAGTCCAGTCAGTCACCTGGACAGGTCGCCGGAGCCAGGCTGTGCCAGCCCTTAAATGCCAGTCTGTGTTTGATGCTGGAGATAACAGGGGGTCATTTAAATTGATTGAGCAGCAAGTGACACGTCCACCCTGCTGCAGCACTCCTAGGGGGCTGGTGACCTCCCCTGTGCAACCTCAGCACCTCAAGGGCAGCAGGCAGGAATGACTTTACTGGTCTGTGTATCCCCAGTGCCTGGCTGGCACACAGTAGGTGCTTAATAAATGCTTGCTGAATGCTAAGCCAGGTGTGACCCGATGAGGGCCTGATGAGGGTCAGCCACCTAAGCAGAGGGAAAGGAGTGGATTTGACCTTGGTGGGAGGAGCTGTAAGACCTAGGAGCCGATCAGGTCCTCCTGCCTCCAGGGTGTGTGCTCTGTCCACTGAGCCCCACAGCTGCCCCTTGACCACCGGTTTTCTAGCCTGGAGGTCAGGAATAACGAGGGTGTGGCCAGCAGAAATGGGAGGAGAGAGCAGGGAGCTGGTAGGAGGGTCAGCAGGGTTCTGGGGATACTGAGAGTAAGAGGACAAAGGAATGAATGCACGCGTGTTTATCAAACTCTTGGTGCCCAGCTCAGGGGAGACAAGAGTCCTAGCCCCCGGCCAAACCCTCTTCTCCATATCCTCTCCCCCACTGGAGAGGAGCCAGCCTGCTTCCTCTTTCGACCTCCATCCCCTAGTACATAGTAAGTGCCTAATAAATGCTTCTCCATTCGTTCTGTGCACAGAGCCCCCATCAGTGGTGCAGATGGAAAGGCCCCGTGGCCAGCAAAGGGCTAAAGGTGGATTTGTTTCGGACTCTGGCCCAGTGGTCGGCGCCAGGGACGCTAAGGTCTGGAGGCCTGAGTTGAGAAGGCAGCACCACAGTAGCGCCCTCCTAGTGGGCACCCCAGGAGTGACGTGGGATGGAAGGGGAGAGGTGGGGACAGGGCCAGCCACTGCAGAGAAGGGCTCCCTGCCCAGGAAAGCGTAACTCAGTTTAACTTTCCCCAGTCCCTAGCTTCCCTTTCCAATGGCTCCATTCCCATTGTGGGGCAAAGATCAGGGAAGGCAGGACACCTCCCCGCCTCTGGACCTCAGTTTCCCCATCTATGAAAAAGGAGGCCTCAGACTAGATCTCTGCTCCTAGGATGGTGGGCTTCTCAGCCTCTAAATCCTAAGTCTTTCTCCCTTTCCCTCTCACTCTTTCCTCATCCTGTCTGCTGCCACCCGCTGTGTCTACACCCTTATGGACTTCTTCCCCTCTCCCCAAACCGAATAGTGCCAAAGTCCAAGGCACCAAGTCCCTGGTGATTCTGGCATTATCCTAGGAAGCATTTGAGCCCCAGGGCAGAGGCAGATGTGAGCCAGGAACCTTCAGGCACGGGAGGAACTTCTCCCAAAGATTCTGGAAAAAGAGAGCGTGGCTGCTAAAATCTTGGTGGGCCTGGCCTGGCCATCTCATTGCCCAGGGGCACAGACAGTCCTTTGTAAACAGTGGCAGCAACTGAAGTGGCCAATTTAACCAGAGCCTACGGTACATGTTGAGATAAGGCTGGTCGCTTTCTAGATCACAGAGCCTCGAATGCCAGGCACAGAAGCATGGGCATAGGGAGCCACGGAATGTCTTAGAGCAGGAGAGTGATGACAATGAGTTAACTCCGTGTGTGAGGGAAGCTGGGCTAACAGTGGAGAGAGTTGGAAAGTGGGAAGGGACTTCCCCCAACCACCCTGAGATTAGGTAACACCAGCATTAATATCGCTTTTGTACAGACCCAGTAAGTGAATGGTTGTGCCCAAGGGCCATCAGTTAGAGGGTTTCAGAGCCAAGGCTCACGACTGATTCCAAGACCAGCCCTTGTTCGGGTCACTGAGGTGCCTCAGAGAGCTCCCGTCTGCCACCTCACTCCGACCTGGAGCTACCCCAGCCCCTTAAGAGGAGGGCACCAGCTGTGCCGGGACCCCTCCAACTAACGGGCCTCCAGGCCAAGGACCAGCCAGAGCAGCCCACTCTAGCAGAGGTGTGGGGAGAGGGACTGCGATCTGCCCTCAGGGAGGGTGTGTGCGCTACTACCCTTCCAGCACTAGGCAGGAGGCCGTGAAGGACAGGTGGGCCGTAAAGAAGGCTGGGGCAGGGGGAAAGGGCTGAAGGTGTGGACCCCGGCTGCACCAGCCCCTCCCCCTCTGGGGGCTTCATCTCCACCTAATAAAATCCCGATTCTAACTGTAAGGAACTCTCTGACCTGGTTTTCAGAGGGATGAGGGTCCTGCTGCCCAAAGCAGGGTGCAGAAGGGCCAAGACCCCCCCCCCCCCCCCCCCCCCCGTCTGTGAGCCCCCCGCCCCCCCCTGTGGTAACAGCCCCATCTCGTGGCTCTGGGGGGCACTGCACGGAAAGCTTGAAGAATCCCAATCAGCCAGATCTAATTAAGGGCTTAGTGAGCCCCTGGGGTCTCGGTTCCTGCCGGGATGGGCCAGCGGCTAACTAGCTGCGGACCTCGGGTGGGTCACACGGTTAGGCCCGAGCTGGAAGGGGCCGCGGAGACTGCTGGCATTTCCGCAGCGCTTTGCAGAGCACTTTGCCTCTGGATCATCTCCGTCCTCACCACCACCACCCTGGGAGGCAGGTACCACTACTCTCCCCATCTCACAGATGAGAGGGCTGAGGCAAACAGGGCCACATGGCAAGAAAGGGCGTAAGCTCGAGGCTGAATTTGAACTCAGCCCTTCCTGACTCCGGGACCAGCTCTCTACTGGCTGCCTTCATCATCTATCCCCCACATTTCCCAGAGGAGGATCCTGAGCCCGGCTCAGGTTCCGTCTCTAGGGCGTGGCCGTCAGCATTCCCACTCGGAACTCCTGCTCCCGTGGGACTTAGATCACAGGGAGCCACTCCCGGGTGTGCCAAGGCTATGGAGAATCTGCCCCAAAGCGTCCTGGGAAAACACGGCAGCCTCTCTTGGGATACGGGCCAGGAGGCATCTCTGCTCCTCTCTTCTCCCTTGGGGAAGACGGCCCAGGAGGTAGGAGGCTGGAGTCAGTAAGACCTGGGTTCAGATCCTGCCTCGGGCGCTTTAACTAGATGTGCGTGCTCCCACCCCTCAGGTAACCTCTACCTGCCTCAGTGCCCTCAACTGTGAAATAGGGATAACAGCAAACCCTGCCCGGGTTGCTGCGAGGACCCAAGGAGTGCTTTGCAAACCTCGCCTCTCCCCACGGATGCTCCTTTTTATCACTGGCCCAGCCCGGAGACGCAGCGCGGCACCCCGCGGGGCGCGGAGGGGAGGGTCCTCACTCATGGCGCTTTGCTGTCTCCCCTCCCAGCCCGAGAATCACTTTGAACTCATTAGCAAGGAGCAGCTGGCCTATTTTTGCAAGCAAATCCAGGCTAGAGTCCTCATCGTGATGTAAGTGCAAACGGAGCCCCCTCCCCCGCCCCTGGACACCCCCCTCCTGCTCACCCCTCCCTTCCTCTGGTTCCGAGAGAGCCTCAGGTGGGGGGGGGGTCTAGCCAGGAGTGGCCCCAGGAGACCCCATTCCAAACAAGTCCTCCTCCTCCTCCTCCCTGTCCCCAAATGGGCCAAGATCAGAGACACCCGAGGGGGAGGCCTTGGACACATTAGCACCAGCCCCCGCCCCGGGGAGATCTGCCGGCCCGGCACACGAAGCCTGGGGCCACTCCTGCCCCAGGGAGCCGGAAGCCGGCCCCACCGGGACCACCAGCGATCTCTCTTGCTTAAGGGCCACCGAGGGATACCATTCCTATAGGTGAGAAAAACAGGACGAAATCAAAAACTTCCAGGTGGTCCTGAAGGTTTTAAAGTCGAACCTCAAGGAGGTGAGATGGCCTGGCAGGTGGGGGCGGGGACGGGGCCCTGGGGCTCCCCGGGGCGGGCAGAGGCAGGGCGACTCACTCCGGGCGCTTCCTTCCCAGCGCTACCACTACGTGGAGGTCCCCGGCAACCATCACGTCCACATGCAGGAGCCCGAGCGGGTGGCCGGGATCATCAGCGACTTCTTGGACAGCAACCACGGCATGCAGGCCCACCTGTAGCCCCCCGTGGACTGACCCTTAGGCCCGGCAGGAAAATCGGCTGGCACTCGTGCCCTCTGCCGATGCCATGGGCTGAGGGCGGGCACTCCACCGCCCTCCCATTCGCTGGCAGCTGCAGGGACCAGCTGGGGGAGGGGAGGGCAAAGGGGCTGGGCCAAGCCCTTCCGGGGCCACCCCCAGAAATGACCTGGGGAGCCTTCCACAGCTCGACAAATAGAATCTTACTCCTTGCACTGCCTGTGGTCCGTGTGGGTGTGGGAGCTCGGGGAGCGGCAAGGATCTCAGGGTGGGGGTCCCTCAGAGGCAGCCCTCCCCAGGCAACAGAGCCCACGCCCACGAACCATGCAGACAACTGGGCAGAAGGGCTGTCTGCCCTTTATTGACGTTTTCTAGAAAGTGGCGGCAGCCTTGTGGAGACGGGGCAGCCCCGGAAAGCCGGGGTCCTGAGCCGCGTGCCCAGGGCTCTGTTCTCTCCCCCTCCCTCTGGGCTGGCCGCTTCCTTCTGGTCCGCAGACCAGGCCTGGCACCATGGCCGCCGGGCCCTCTCTAGTGGGGCCTGGCTACCCCCACTCAGTATGGGCGGAACTTGCGCTGGGCCCGCATCAGGGCGATTCTCTGCTTGTCCTCCTCAAACTTCTTCCGCAGCTGGGCCAAGTCTGGGATGGACGGAGGGAGAGAGCGGAGGTCAGCGGGTGGGGGGGGCGGCCGCGTCCTCCCATCACCCCGTCCTGCTGAGGGAGGCGCTCCTTGGGCCCTGACCCTCGTGGGCATCCCTGCCAGGACAGTCTCCTGCTCTGCGTGGTCCAGGAGGGGAGGGGTCCCAGGGGAGAGGGATCAGCGCCCCCCCCTCCCCCACCTGGGCATGAGGGGGTCACTGGACTGGTCAGGGATGGCCCAGAGGGATGGGTCGGGCCCAGTGTCCCTCTACCCCGGGAGTGAAAGGTAGGCAGGGCTTGTTGGGCCCTTCCTCCTCAAGCTGGCCCAGCCCCTGCCCCCAAACCCCCTGGAGGGAAGGGAGTGGGGAGCAAAGGCCCCCCACATCTGCCGGGCGCAGCCAGGGAGACCTCAGTCTCCTGCTCCAAAGGCTGTGAATCTGGGAAGCCTTCAGCTCTCCCCAGTAAAAATGGGGCTACCAGTGCAGGCAGTGAGCCCACCCCTAGTGGGGACCCCTTCTCCGAGCCAGGCCGGGCCGGGCCCCCGACTCACGCTCCATCTTGGTCTCGCGGTGCTGCCATGCGTAGAAATTAAGCAGCTCCTTGCGCGCTTTCTTGCGTTTCTCCTTCTCCAGCACGCGCAGGCTGGCAGCCTCGGAGCGGGGCAGGCCAGGCCGCCGGCCTTTGCGGGTCACCTTCACCCAGCCTTCCTCATCTGGGACCCCCTCCTCCGCCTCTGCCTTGGCGTCTTCCTGCGGTACAGGGAGGCCGCCCCATCAGCTGCCGCCCCAGGGCCCAGGGCCTCAGTCTCCTCCTCTGTGGAACAGACAGCTTGGCCCTGTTCCCCAGAGCTGCAGGAGTGCTGGGTTGGGAGTCCAAGGTTTGAATCCTCACTGACTTCACCCTAGGACCCTCTCAGCTTTCCTCTGTGTGGGGCCCGGGGGGGTGGAAATATGCTGCAGGGACGTCCCTGAAAGTTCTGCTGTGACCCAGGCCCGGACCCTGCCCTCCCCCCGCCCCCACTCGTGCCCGCGGCAGCGGCCCCCGCGGGCGGCCGTGCATACCGCGGCCGTCTTCTTGTCGTACTCCTCCATGAACTTGTCCACCTCCAGCCTGAGGGCCTCCGGGTCCACTAGAGAATCTGCGTAATCCGCTATCCACTCTGGCAAAGAGGCAACAGTGAGGCCCCACACGCCGCCTCCCCCAGGAAGCCCTTCTGACAGAGAGCCAGCAAGACGTGAGTTCAAATGTGACACACTTACTGGCTGTCTGACCCTGGGCAAGTCGCTGCACCCGTCTGCCTCAATTTCTTAAACTGTAAAATGGGAATAATACTGGCACCCAGGGTGCCTGGCACCTAGTAGGTGCTTTGTAAATGTTAATTGTTGTTATTACTTATCGTCATCTCATCACATCGAGCTTTCGTAGGACCATGGGGCCTTCCAGGCAGGAGGAAGGGGGAGCTGCTGGGGTGGGGGCGCAGAGGACAAGCAGCCCACGCCCCTCGTGTACAGAACGTCAGATCTGGAGTCAGGGCACCTGGACCTGTTTCCTCATCTGTAAAACGAGGCCTCCAAGGTCCCCCCCAGTTTTTTGGTTTTTTTTTTTTGTTGGCGAAGCAATCAGGGTTAAGTGACTTGCCCAGGGTCACACAGCTAGTGAGTATCATGCATCTGAGGTCGGATTTGAACTCAGGTCCCCCTGACGCCAGGGCGCCACCTCTCTGCCCCAAGTCCCTCCTACTTCTAAAATCACAAGCCTACGCTCCAGGTCCAGTAACAATTTCCATGAAATCACATGAAATCGAGGGACTGCCTCAGTCTGCATCTGCATCTATCTCTGTGTCTCAAAGCAGAAGAGGAGCCTGGGGTCAGAGAGGGCTCCTTCCTGCCCCGCCTCCCAGCTCAGCCCCCTCCGCCCCCCACCCACACTGACTCTCAATGCCAGTTTTCACCGGGTGGCTCTCTGCTGAGATGATCAGAGGTCCCTGAAGGGCCACGGCCTTCGGCAGGGACGCTGGCTTCCTGAACACCACATAAGCCACGTGGAACCCCTGCGGGGAGAGAGCCGGGGGGCAGAGATAAGGACACACCCAGAGACCCCGGCTGGGCCCCCCCTCAGCTGCCACGCCACCCACGGCAGTGACCGGGGACCAGATGAAAGGTGGGCGCTACAGGCCCCAAGGGTGGCACACCTTGCCAGAAATGGCCTGTGGCCCAGGGAGGCTTTAAGGGAGGGATGAGCCATTAGGAAGTACCAGTGATTTTTTTTCCCCGATACACAATGATCTGATTTCCTCTTCATTTTTTTTTTAATTTAATTTTTTTTTTTTAATTTTTAGGCAATTGGGGTTAAGTGACTTGCCCAGGGTCACACAGCTAGTAAGTGTCAAGTGTTTGGTCTGAGGATGGATTTGAACTCAGGTCCTCCTGACTTCAGGGCCAGTGCTCTATCCACTGTGCCACCGACCTGCCCCATGATTTCTTCTTTTTTAAAAAACAAAGAAAGGCAGAATAACACAGAAAACTGAAGCTGGAGCTAGGAGATGCTGAGTTCAGGTCCTGCCCTGACACATGCTGGGCAAGTCCCTGGCCCAGGAGGCCCCAGGCCCAGGCTATCCCTGTGTTTTTCTTTTAGTCTGAATTTAATGCCCACCCCTTAAAGAGCAAAGAAAGTAGAACAGAAAAAGGATTATTTGTGAGCCCACCGAAAAAAAGGGGGGCACATGGTATTAACAAGGCGCTCGTCCGTGGTTCCCGCTTTCTGTCAGCCCTCAGGGGTCCCTATCCTGGGCTCGTAACCTGGTGGCGCCTAGCTGTCCCTGCCCGCCTGCGTCCCCCTCCGAGCAGCCCCGAGCTCAGCCCTCATGGCAGGGTTTAAAAACGGGGGCACAGGGGTGGTCTGTGTGCTGGACCCGTCTGTGGACGGTTGCTGGGGCAACCTGGAGATGCCAGTTTAAAAACAAGAGGGCAAAGTGAGGACGTGGCAGATAAAGGCTCCGCAGCAGCTCTGCCTGGGCACTGCTGGAGGCCTGGCGGGGCAACCCTGAGAAGCCTCTACCCCGGAGAGAAGGGGGGGGGACAGGAAGGACAGGAGCGCCCAAACTGGGTGGGAGGGTCCCAATGCCGCTACACCGTGCCCAGGGTCGCTCTCCCCCAGCGCCTGCGGCCGCCTCCCAATTCCCCTCCAGCGTTTCCCAGGAGACTTACCGGGACAGGCTTTGGACAGAAAAACACCGACGACTCCTTCGGCGTCTCGGACAGGTCTGGCTTCTCGTGTAGACGCACGGACTGGACGGGGCCACAGGCGGCAAAGAGCCGGGCCAGGCACTCCTGCCCACCGTCCAGGGAAGGAAAAAGCAGGGGGTGAGGTGGGCGCAGCACCTGGGACCCCCCAAAAGTGAGCTCCTGGGCTGAGCGCTGTGTCAGGAGAAGGCCCCGCCTCCGCCCCTCCCTGCAGAGGCGGGGGGCTCTGGGTGCGGCAGGCGGCACGCGCTGGCAGACCCAGCCAGCGGGCAGGCCAATGTCACAGGCTCGTTTTCGGGTCCCTCTTTCCTTGCTAATCGCTGATGTGACCTGGCTGCCTGCACTCTGTGTGCTCCCCCCAAGACTGTGAGCTCCTCGAGGGCAGGAAGCATGCGGGGTCTGGCACACAGCTGGTGCTTAATAAATGCCGGCTGACGTGCTCGCTCGGCGGGGCCGAGGAACATCTCCAGAGGTAACCATGAAACACAAGCAAGAGACATCAGGACTTTGAAATTTAATTCCTAAATGCTCTGGACACATCTCCCTCAACCCTACGCTGTGTGCCCGGGGCAGCTGCTGGGGCAGTAGGGGAAACCGAGGCAGCCAGAGGTGAAGTCACAGCTGGTGAGGACAGATTGGGGTTCAGGCCTTCCTGGCTCCAAGCTCAGCCTGCCAGGCACTGGGATGCCACCTCGCTTTTACAGAGGGGGAAACTGAGGCACAAAGGCAGAGCGCTGACAAGCGGCAAAGCCAGGATTAGAACCCAGGTCCTGCGCCTGATCCTCCAGCACTCTTTTCACTGTTTCTCGCTACCCACCCTAGGGGTCCCCCACCCCACAGTGGGGCTCGCTGACCTCTGAACAGTATGGGGGAACGTTGAGGACAAAGAGGGTGCGGTCTGGAGGCCAGCTGGACTTGGCACCTCCTCGAACTCGGTGCTCTTTGATGTAGAGGAAGTGAGAAGACGCCTGGTCCTGGGAGAACTTGATGGGGATGGCTGAAAGGGAAGCACTCCCCTGCTCACTAACCCCAGTGGCCCCCCATTACCTCCAGGGCAAACCGCACCCCCCCACGCCTCGTCTACACCGGCTGCGAGCACACCACCGGCCAGCCAGGCTCTCCTCTGGGCTCTTCCTTCCCGGCCCTCCAAAACCCTCTCCACTTCCCACCTCCCCGCCTTTGTCTGGGCCGAGCCCCACCCCTGGCACCGTTCCCAAGGTGAGCGTGCAAAGGTGTCAGGCCCCTCCCCCTGGGCCCAGCCCCAGGGGGCGGGGCCCTCCAGCAAAGGGCCCGGCTCGGCATTCAAGGCCCTCCGGCCAGCTAGCTCTAAGGAAC